TGACTGCAGGTCCAGATCTTGTTGTTCGGCTTGAAGATACGAAGAAATCTCAGCTTCGGAGAGATTTGGATTCATGCGAAGGACGGCGCGCGTCTGTCGCCATTCGGGTCCAAGGTCAGCAAGAAGGACTGTGAGATACATCTCACGTGGGAAGTATCCCCCACTCTTCTCCAGTTGATCACGTAATGTGCGAACAGGGTTGACATAGTCCATGGCGTTTTCGTTTGGCATCATCTGCACACTTGTCAACTGCGAAAGAATCTTACTCACTGTTATTGTATCTTTTTCCATGTATACCCCCTTCAAGTGGTTCCATGCAGTTTCAGTTGGTGTAAACCTTGAATGAAACGATCGGACACCGAGTTGCTCCTTCGGCGACAGGTTCCGTACAAGAACCGTATATGCCCCGAGAGAGGCGTGCAAGAAACTCTGCTGCTCCAGTTGTGTTCCCACGACAGGATATGTGAACTCGCCGGTGAAGAACGGCCATGGCCCAGCGGACTGCGCCAGAAGCTCAAATTCGAAACTCCAAGAGTAAAAATCCACTCCGTTAAAAGGTATGGTTGTCTTGATCTGTGTACCGTTAAGCAAATTTGGCGGTTGAAAAATAATACCCGGTTGTTGTGGCTGTTGCTGTTGCTGTTGTTGTTGTTGCTGTTGTTGCTGTTGCTGAAACTGTTGTAGCTGTTGTTGCTGTTGCTGTTGCTGAGCAGGGGAACGACCAAAGATGTAAAAGGGATGCTGCTGCTGATGTTGTGACTGCGGCTGCTGCATAAAAAGGTGAGAAAGCGAATGAACCACTACTTGGAGCTGAGGCTCCATGCATATAACTTGAGCCGTCAAGGCTCATTCCACTAAACACAGAAGATATAGACTGAGTTGAAAACGGTGGTTGTGTTGATACCTGTTGCTGTACTGATGCTTGTTGTTGTGCTGCTGCTTGTTGTTGTGCTGCAGGGGCAGTTGATGACATCCCTGGAGTACTGACAGAATATGGATTCTGATGCTGCTGCTGCTGCTGCATATCGATATGCGCATAAGCCGGTGGAAACGGTCCAGAGGCTGAGAGACCAGTGACAGTCGTGGAGACATGTACTCCAGTAGTTCCGGAAGTTGATCCGGCAGACGGTGCTGGTGATGAACCATTCATTGTTGACAGTAGTCTTAATTCCAGATAGCTCTCATACCATGTAATAAATTGACAGGTGTTGCAGAAGACTAAGTATAAAATATGAAAACACGAACACTTGGAAAACCTCAAGTGTTAGTTTAGGAACTTTGCTGGAACAGTAGACTAGTAAGACAGCGGAAGTCTTGTAAGAATGAACCTGAGTATATATTTCTGCAGAAGTTAAAACCACAGGCTATAAAAGCACACGCTGGGCGCTCTTGAAAACTGAGTTTTTTGGGGGTCAGAATAAACGACCCAGACTCGAGCACGACACACCAAACGAAACGGAAAAAAACGTGTTGCAACAGTTTGAAACGTAGCGAAGGGCCACCCGACGCACCAAACTGGTCCACGACTTCGGCGGAACACGGTGCGATCTGTGTGGAAGTCGCACAATTTGTCGAATGCGACTACCACCCTCGAACCCGTCGTTCAAGAGCTCCATGGGTGTGCTTCACGATTCAAAGGAGGAGATTATGTCGTAGTCAGTCAAGCTTAGGAAGCCATAGCTGCCACAGAACAGGACAAAAAAAGAAAACCGCCCGCCCATCGACGACCAACTCCCAGCACTACGATGGGGAGGTTTTTTATCCTGTAGAAAATGATATCTTGGGCGTAATACCGGCGTGCACCGTGGGACGAGCTAAGATCGTCGTACAAGACATAGTGCCCGCCTAAGTTTGCGTACCAAAACTGTTATAAGACCCGCCATTAGGCCCCGCGACTCTAGCGGAAGTATATAGCCAGAGATTAAATGGCACTCCCGCGAGGGGATTGGGCCACGGATAGCGAGGAGATCGGGGGAACGCGTAGCAAGGAGAGGGGGAACACGTGGCGAGAAGAGGGGGAACGGATGGTGACTTTAGGAAGACACGTGGCGAGAAGAGGCGGGACGGATGGTGACGAGACGGGGAACGGAAATCGCGGAGAGGGGGAACGGATGGCGAGGAGAGGGGGACGGATGGCGAGGAGAGGGGGACGGATGGCGAGGAGAGGGGGACGGATGGCGAGGAGAGGGACGGATGGCGAGGAGAGGGGGACGGATGGCGAGGAGAGGGGGACGGATGGCGAGGAGAGGGGGACGGATGGCGAGGAGAGGGGGACGGATGGCGGGGAGGAGGGGAAAGGATGGCGGGGAGAGGGGGAAAGGATGGCGGGGAGGGGGGGAAAGGATGGCAGGGAGGGGGGAAAGGATGGCAGGGAGAGGGGGAAAGGATGGCATGGAGAGGGGGAAAGGAGGGCGGGGAGGGGGGAAAGGATGGCGGGGAGAGGGGGAAAGGTTGGCAGGGAGAGGGGGAAAGGATGGCAGGGAGAGGGGGAAAGGATGGCGGGGAGAGGGGGAAAGGACGGCGGGGAGAAGAGGAAAGGACGCCAGGGAGAGGGGGAAAGGATGGCGGGGAGAGGGGGAAAGGATGGCGGGGAGAGGGGGATGGAAGGCGAGAGGCAGATTCCCATGTCAGATTCCCATGTCAGATCGGAGGGCGAGAGGAAGGGGGGAGAGGGCAAGTGGCAGAGGGGTAACCGAGGGCGAGGAGAGGTGTGGGAGAGGGTGAGGGAAGGCGGATGAGAGGGCGGGGAGAGGCGGATGAGAGGCTGAGGAGAGGCGGGGTGAGAGGGCGAGGAGAGGCCGAGGAGAGGGTGATGAGAAGGGGAAATGAGAGGGCTGGGAGACGTGCCCACTGGATTTGAAGCCTATGATGCCCAAAACCAGATTGCAGGGGCGTCCCAAACTGCCATTCACACTCAGCTATACCCCTCCCCATCCCCCCCCACCGACACCCTCCCTGTCACACGCACTACCTCTGCTCCCCATCTGCCCCACACCCTTTGGGCCTTCACCTTGTGCCTCCTCCCTCACAGGTACGCCCTGCCCAGATGGCACCTCCCTGCAGGTCACTGCTGCCGCTGCCGCTGCTGCTGCTGCTGCTGCTGCTGCTGCTGCTGCTGCTGCTGCTGCTGCAGGCTGAGCTCGTTTCCGAGGCTTGGCCGCAGCAACACCTGTCACCTCACGCCCCAAGGACGCCTGCCCATCCCACGTGGCATCACCTCCTGTTTCCCTGCCTCTTGCCTCAAATTTGGTTGGCATGTGGTTCTTTTGACCGACTTTTCCATCCCAAAACCCACCCCCCTTCCCCCTTTTATCCGAACTCTCACCTGTCCCTCACTCCCATTTCCTTCACTCTCTCCTGTCCCTCCATTCCTCCCGCTCTCTGCTGTTCCCCTGCTCCCTGCTGTCCGCCTGCTCTCTGCTATCCCCCCACTCTCTGCTGTCCACACCCTCTCTGCTGTCCCCACCCTCTCTGCTGTCCCCGCGCTCTCTGCTGCCCCCCCCCTATCTGCTGACCCCCCTGCTCTCTGCTCCCCCCCCGCTCTCTGTTGCCCCCCTTGCTCTCTGCTGCCCGCCCGCTCTCTGCTGTCCCCCTGCTCTCTGCTGCCCTCCCTGCTCTCTGCTGCCCGCCCCCTCTCTGCTGGCCCCCTGCTCTCTGCTGCCCGCCCACTCTCTGCTGTCCCCCCTGATCTCTGCTGCCCGCCTGCACTCTGCTGCCCGCCCGCTCTCTGCTGTCCCCCTGCTCTCTGCTGCTCTCCCGCTATCTGCTGTCCCCCCTGCTCTCTGCTGCCCACCCGCACTCTGCTGCCCGCCCGCTCTCTGCTGTCCCCCTGCTCTCTGCTGCCCGCCCGCTCTCTGCTGTCCCCCGCCTCTCTGCTGCCTGCCAGGTCTCTGCTATCCCCCTGCTCTCTGCTGCCCCCCCCCTCTCTTTGGTCCCCCCCTCTCTGCTGTCCCCCCCCCCTCTGATGTACCCCGGCTCTCTCCTGTGCCGTATCCCCTTGTGGTCGAGGCAATGATTCCTTTCCCTACCTCGCTCCCATCTCCCATCCTTTCCCCCATCATCCCTCCCCTTTCTCCCACCCTGTCAAGCTTTTCCTCCATCCGCTACCCCTTTCACTTATGTCCCTCTATGCCAGCACTACCGCCAATGCTGCAATTATCTCTACTGCCACTGGTGCCGGGAATTCTGCCCGTGCTGCCATTTCAACATATGCGAATGATGCAGGTAGGGGTATTGTTCGCTGCAATCACATATTTTCGTGGCCTAATTTTCCAATAAAACTTCGCATTGTTTCTCTAAACCACAGAGGTGCAAAATGCATTTTGCATATTACATTGTGATGTTGATACTGTTCTATGCTATTTATAACGTTTCAGGTACATGCTATTACATAGTGTACGAGTTCCAGACCAATGTTATTTGCAAATGAGTCTCGAGGTTCCACAAGACCTTCTGAAGTCAATCTGTTCGGAACCCCGTTCTCGCGTCACGCATGTTGACGCAGGTAGTCCCCTCTCTATGCATGTTTCGTCTGAGTTTTGCTAACTCACGAAACTTGGCCTGGGACAGGGTCGACCCTAAACAAGCCCCGGCTTCAATCGAGTTCCACTCTCGCCATTTTGGCGGGAATTTTGGTATGTCGCACATGGCTTCACCACCTCGTCGCACGCGTTTCAATATCGCCCCAACCCCCAGTAGGTGCTAAACATTTTGTGGTTCAAATCTGCCCGTCTGCCCCAAACTTCTTATGGCAGTTTCGCAGTAGCACCCCAGTTTTTCCAAGTGCCCCCACTTTCAAGAGCGGCGCACTTGAAGCCCCCCCCTTTGCTATTTTAGCTTGTGGTTTTAAGTCTCAAAGTTCTGAAATTGAAATTTCAAGGTTAATAATAAAAAGGACAACAAAGAATCATAGCTCTAGGAAAGTACCTATTCGCTAATGCACCTGTTAGTCACTATCGCACTATGCGCCCTAGATGATAATGAAGAGGTGTGACTATTCGTGTGACTGAAATGACTGTCCTATGACGAGCGCTATTTGCTGACATCATCCTACGGACTTATCTTCTACAGTAGGATTCGACATTATCTAACGATAAACGACTTACAGAAATGCTAAGTATGAAATATACCACAAGGTGGAGTATTTCAAACCAAGGTGGCAGGCAGAGAGGGCATAGGCGTGACCTACGAAAGGTATAGTCCAGCATATCTCAAGCTACCGAGGAGCAAGGGCCTGGCTTGATCTACAGCCCAAGGCAAGAGAGCACTACGCTAGCCATGTATCCTTCTCGTTCCATGGCTGAGAAGTGAAGTCAGGAGCGTGCTTGGCTAGAAGGCAGCCCAGCCAGAGGGCTGGTGAAAGCCCGGTGCTGACGCTGCAACAGATGTGTACTGCTGCTGCTGCTGCTGCTGCTGGGGTTGAGAGGCCTCAAAGCCAGACGCAGAGAACGCACCAGCAGTACCAGTACCAGCGGAGGCACCACCAAACGATTCCCACCCGTGGCCACCATACAAGGCACCAGCACCAGCAGCAGCAGCAGCAGCAGCAGCAGGCCCAGCACCAAAACCAGCTGCAGCCGATTCCTTCCAACTGCCCGGAGCGCTGCCCGGAGCATTGTTAGAACCTTCAGTCTGCTCCTGTTGGAGAGGGGAACGAGGCCTGGTCACACTGCCTCTACCGCTGCCGCCGCTGCTGCTGTAACTAGCAGATGCAGTAGCGAAGGCTCCTCCTGGGTCTGCTGTGGCAGGGACACCAGTAGAAGGGAGGGCAGAAGAGGATACGCTGCCATGGGCTGGCCAATACCCCTGCTCCTTCTCCTGCTGCTGCTGCTGCTGCTGCTGCTGTCGATGCTGGTGCTGGTGCTGGTGCTGGTGCTGTGGCTGCTGCAAGTGGGATTTGGGAGGGGAGGAGGATCGCTGAGTGTTGTGTGCCGGTGAGGAGTTGCGGCGGTGAGCTGCCTCCCCTGCTGCTTTTGCTTGCAAGCCAGCAGCTCTGGAGGCTGCACCAGATGCACCTGATGCTGCTGAAGCCCTTCTCCAAGTGCTGCTGTTATCGTTGTCTCTGTAGCTGCTGCTGCTGCTGCTGCTGGTGGTGGTATTGTTGCTGCTGTTGCTATTGTGCCCTCTGTGTCCACCACCCCCCTTGAGGGACTCATATGACACGGGCACAGGGCTCCCGATATCCTCAAACCTCAAATTGATCACCTTCTCTGCCTCCTCCTCCTGCTCTCTCTCCCCCTCGCCTCTCACGATTAACCTGGGAGTCTCTTCTTCCTCGCTCTTCTCTTGCCTGGTCGCACCCATATCCGCCCCCTTCCTCTCTCGCTCATTTGTTTGACTCTGGCTCCTCCGCCCATCACCCCTGTAATCACCCCCGTTCCTCTCCCCCCCTGAACCGCCACCAACGCCACGAGCAGCACTACCGGCGTGGCTATCGCCATTGCTGCCCCGGCCAGCACCACCCTGCCCCAGCTGCTGCTGCTGCACCAGCGCAGCCTGTAGAGCCGCAATATCCGCCTGCTGCGTCTGCACGACCAGAGTCAGCTTGCTGCACGTTACCCGTAGCTCGTCCCTCTCCTGCAGCACCCTCTGCAGCTCGCCTCTCAGCCGCTCCACCTCATCCGCCACCAATGGCAGTCGCGATCCAGATCGCGGTGGCGATGGTGATGCTGATGGTGACGAGCCTGCCTTTCTTGCCGCACCACTATCCGAACCCATACCCACTCCTGCGCCTGCGCCGTCAGCAGAGCTGCCTCTCCTCTCCTCCTCTGCCCGCCTCTCAACCACTCTCTCTGCAGCGCTGGCCGATACACTGGCAGACGATGGCCTGCTGCCAGCTGCAGCAGCAGCAGCTGCTGGCTTATTGGTACCAGAACCAGCAGCAGCAGCAGCAGAAGCAGCTGCAGGGGTGGAAGTAGCAGAGGCAGCAGCAGGAGGCGCAGAGGCAGCAGCAGGAGGCGCAGAGGCAGCAGCAGGAGGCGCAGGGGCAGCAGCGCTACTAGAAGCTGCTGTCTGGGTTGCTGGGAACGAGTCAAAGTTCGCCCAAAACGACCCTGCTGCTCCTCCTGCTCCTGCAGTCGCAGCAGCAGCCGGTGGTGCTGCAGAGGTGGCACCAGGAGCTGTATTTCTGTGTGGTGCTGAGTCTCGCTGCTGCTGCAGCTGCAGGTGCTGTGGCGAGGGGGAGGAGGGCCTACGTCCAGTAGCAGAAGCAGCAGGAGATGAGGAGGGCTTGGGCGTTAGTGGTGGCCAATCAGGGCTGGCTTTGCGCATCTCTGGCGGCAATAGCTCGTTCACACGGCGCCATACCTGGTGTAACAGAGACGAAGACAGGCAATTTGACAACAAGCAAATTGGAAATCAGGAGCGAGAAAGGGGATGAGGGTGATGAGACAGGGGTTGAGCGTAGGATGTCGGGCCGGAAATGCTTTCCGGGGGATCAGCAGGAAGAGAAGAAGGCAAAGGGGAGATGAGGAGCGTGGAAATGAGAGGATGTCATGTCAGTAGCACCACACACACCCGCCACTCTCTCCGACACCTTCTCAGCATCCATCACCCACCTGCTGGAGCATATCTGGCCGTCCATCAGGCACGACCAGATGAGAATCTGGCTGCATGACCTTCCCCTCTCATCACCCATCACCCACCTGCACCAGAACTCACCTCTGAGCTGACTTGCATGTCACCTCACCACCCATCACCCACCTGCTAAAGCACATCTAGCCGACCGCCCAACTGCATGCCCAACATGTTGCGGACGAGGGCTGGCACGCCCCTCCCCTCTCAGCATTGACCCATCACCCACCTGCAGCACGTCTGGGCGGCGGTCTGGCTGCATGGCGAGCATGTCCCGTACGAGCGAGAGAGCACACCCAACATCTCCCCCCTTCTCCCTTTCGCCTCTTACATTCCATCACACACGCCCTACCTGCAGCACGTCTGGGCGGCGGTCTGGCTGCATGGCGAGCATGTCCCGTACGAGCGCGGGCACGGCGGCGGAGTAGCGCGGGGCGTCGGGGATGGAGTAGCGGCCGTTGAGCACCTGCAGCTTGGACTCGCCGTCAAACGCTGACCGGAAGTACGCCATGCGGTACAGCAGACACCCCAGGGCCTGGAGGCGACGGGCCACGGGCCAAGGGCGAAGGGTGGTGAAGAAGGGTGAAGGGTGAAGGGCGAAGGGTGAAGATTTGGTGAGTGTGAGGGAGGAGGAGGGGTTGGGAGATGCGCGGATGAGCGGGGAAAGGAGAAATAGAGCAGGAGGATGCGCATGAAAGCATTTGGAGCGTCTTGCGTTTTTCTTGCACAAGGAGCAACTTTTTGCAGGAGAAAACAGGGCGCGTGGGGGGGGGGGGGAGGGGGGGATGACAGAGCAAGAGCCAGGGGTGAAAAAGTGACGGGGAAGGAGAGGTGGAGGCACGGCGAAGAGGGGGGAGTGGAATGGCCGAGATTTGAGTTGAGTTGAGCGTACCCATATGTCGACCTTCTCACTAAGCATCTCCTTTTGAAAGAGGTCCCACAACTGTTGACAGGGCAGGATGGGGGTGGGTAAAAACCAATGAATGCACAACACGGGGAATTTTTGAGGCGCCTAAAAAAAAACTCATGAATGCACAACACGGGGAAGGGAATCAAAGGGGCGACACAACACACATCGGACAAGGGTCGGTAAATGTCCGCATGGGTGTACGTGTGTGTTTGGGGGAGGGGTTGGGATGGGTGTGTCTGGGTGTGTGTGCGTGTGTGTATGAGAGTGAAAGGACAGGGTGGACTTATAGATTTGTGATCTCGTCACTGTTTAACTTATCTCGCCTACACCACACAACGCCCTTTCTCTACCCTTCCTTCCCACTTCCTCGCTAAACCCCCCCAACCTCCCCCAACCTCCCCCAAACTCCCCTTCCTGTCTCCTCTCCCTCTCCCCACCTCTCTCCCCTCCTTCTCTGCACCCACTTCCCTCCGTCTCCCCTCCCTCTCCCGTCCCTCTCCCCATACTCTCCCCTCTCCCCTCCCCCCTCCCCTCTCTCCCCCTTCCTCGGGGGCGCGGTAGGCGGGGATGGTGTTGCGCTGGATCACGTCCTCTTTCGAGCCCCATGTCCTCCGCGCGCGCTCCCCCCCCCTCTCCCATCCTTCTCCCCGCCCCCCTCCCCCCCGATCTCCCCCCCCCCCTCTCCCCTACCTCAGGCGCGCGGTAGGCCGGCGTGGTGTTGCGCCGGATGACGTCCTCCTCGAGCCCCATGTCCTCCGCGAGCTCTCTCCACTTCCCCCTCTTCCCCCCACTCCCTCTCTCCACCCACCTCAGGCGCGCGGTAAGCGGGGGTGGTGTTGCGCCGGATCACGTCCTCCTCGAGCCCCATGTCCTCCGCGCGCTCGATCCGCCGGTGCCGCGTGCTCGTGCTGCCGAAGTCGCACAGCCGCCACGACCCGTCCCCGCACTGCAGCATGTTCTCCGCCTTCAGGTCCCTGGGGGGCGCGAGGCGGGGGGGGGGGGGGGGGGGGGAAGGGAGAATTTGGAACGCTTAGAAGTTTCGCACGTCAAACATCGCCGCACTGCAGCACGTTCTCCGCGTTGAGGTCCCTGGGGGAGGAAGGCGTGGGGGGGGGAGGGGGGGGTGAGGGAGGAGTGGTGTTGGGGGGGTGTGGGGGGAAGAGAGAGGGGAGGATGCGCGGGGAAGGGGAAGGCGTAGGAGAGGCGTGAGGGGGGGTGGCGGAAGTAGATTTGGGGAAGGCGGAGGGGCAAGTGGTGAGGGTTAATGGGGAGGCGAGGAGGGACGATAACGGGGAACTGACGGGGAACTGACGGGGAAGCGGACGGACCTGTGCGCGATGGGCGGGTGCTGGCAGTGCATGGCGAACACGGCGTTGCACACGTCGCGGAACGTGAGCAGCAGCGCCTTCTCGTCGAACGGCGTCGCGCCCCGGGCCGCCATGACATCCACGAGCGTCCTCTCGCAATGCTCCATTAATAGAAAAACCTCCTTGCGACCAGTCCCGCCCATCGCACCACCACCAACACCACCACCGCCTAGCCCACCCAAACTCGCTCCGCCGTGCCCCATCCCTCCAGCGCCAACAGCCGCGGCTCCGCCAGGCCCTAATCCGGCGGATCCGGCGGAATCCAGGAGCGCGTGCGCGTGGAGTGTGACTATATTGGGGTGGCCTCTTAACGCCATGAGAACGGACACCTCGCGCTGGACCTGCTCCATGGTATCGGGATCGCTGCAGACGATGTGCTTTAACGCGTACGCGCGGCCCGAGTGCGAGCAGCGGGCGAGGTAGACGAAGGCGAAGCCGCCCTGAGCGATGGTGGAGCGAACCTGCACCTGAACGCGACCCACCTCCACTGTCTTGCCTTCCAGCGGGCCAGCGGTCTGGCTGCCGCCGGGCCCCTGGTGTCCCTCCAGCCCCATCATGTGCTTTAATCGCCACATGCTGACGAGCTTCTAACGAGGATGCGCTTTATATCTCTTTGACGAGGGTGGTTATGGCCGATGCGCACTGCTCGGGACGCGATGAGAATGGAAACCAGCGATGAGAGGAAGGGGTCGCGACGAGAAGGTACTGGTGCGGCTGACAGTGGGGAAAGGGTATAATTTTTGGTAGATTCTGGTAGACTTCTGGGTAGAATTTGGTAGATTTTTGGGCGGAATGTAGTTAACCAGTACTTGGAGCGACGGAAATTGAAGTCACGGTCTACGCACAAATGCCGATCTTTATTCTACATTTAGTGATGTCCCATAAATTACCTCTGGGACGAACGTCGCACAGCCGGAGACCGAGCAGAATGTCGATCCAAGGCAGATCAAGGCGGGGTTGGGGGTGGTGGGGGAAATGAGATTGCCAGGGATGAATCACAAGCACCGATTGCCTTGCTGTGCAGGATTGGTGGTAGTGAGGTGGTCTGGGTTTAGAGAGTGGTATCAGAAATATTAAAATGGTTTCGGATCGATTCAGTTCGGTCCGGTTCGGCTCATTTTGTTCTGTGCTGTGGTGTGTGGTGGGGTGATGTGCTGTGCTGGTGGTGGTCGGCCGAAGCAATGAACAGGGACAGTCGTCTTTGCATCTCATGTCATGCCGTGCCAGCATTGAACATTGGTGTGGTGTGGCGTTGTAGCCAGCCAAATATGGGCTGTGTTCTACAGGCATTTGACGTCGACGTCGACGTCGACATTGAGGAAGCTCCTAAAGCGACTTCGAGAGCACTGGTTACCACTCAAACCAGGTGCACTTTCCAAACCTCGCTTGGAAGCAACGCGCCTAACTGTGGAAAGCGCGAGCGAAAGGAGAGAGGAGCCAAATTGAGGCTGATGTAACGCCACACGCAAGCTGAACTCCTCGATTTAGCGAACGTCAGCATTGCGTCACCTTTGCGTCAAATTTGCCAGGGAGGGAAGCGAGGAGGGTGTTTCCCTGACGTAGATGTCATCTGTACATGGTGTCAGAAACTAGCTTAGCTAGGAAGCCATAGAATGGCACAAGGTTTAGCTAGGAGCTAGGAGGAGCCATGAGAATGGCGAGAGGTTTTAGGTGCTAGGAAAGTTGAGGAGAGAAAAGATGTTGGATTAGAAGAGAGGGGAGTACAAGGAGGGGTTTGTACCCCCTACAGAAAGGTTCAGTAACAACCTACCAAGCCTATATAAATTATAACTTATATAATTTTAACACACCCCCTAGGCTTGGTAGTCACACACCCACACACACCCACACCCCCTAACCTAGCACCCCCATTCCAGCCACAGTGACAGCGACTCTAGGTCGGTCGACCCCACGGCGCGTGAGGCGGCGACGTCGACCGCAGGGGCTGCGGCGGCGACGGCGGCAGTGGCGGCAGTGTCGACAGCGGCGGCGGCGGCGGCGTGCGGCTGCGTGGCCCCGACGCAAGCGGCGACAGCGGCGGCGGCGGCGGCTTCGACAACAGCGGCAGCGGCGGCGGCACCCGCACCTCTCGGTGACGTGGCCTGGCCCCGCGACTGTGGGACGGCCGGCGGGAGTCAGCCATCGTCTGCGGAATGGAAGAGGGCGCAGGGGAAGGAGGGGGGTGGGGGGGGGGGGCGGCGCCACAGGCTGACATGCGGGCGGCCGGTCTAGCGGCGCCACAAGCGTCACGCGGCCGGCTGCAGCCCGACGACGCCGTCATGGAGCGGCGTCGATGCCGCAGCGGGGCGTCGACGCTGCGACGGCAGCACGACGTCGCTGGTACGCCGACTGCGCGCTGTCGCGTAGACGCCGCGGCAGCGTGACGGCGCCGTCACGTCGCGACAGCAACTTGACGCGACGGCGGAGCTGCGGCACGACGGCGCGGCCACAGCAGCTGGACGCGGGCGCCATGGACGTCGACAGCGGCGCCGCGGCACGACGACGCGGCCACAGCAGCTTGACGCGGCCGCCATGGCAGCGCGAGATAGAGAGAGAAACGAGCACGCAGCGGAAACGCGAGGAGCAGGCCCACACGGAACGAACTGCTCTAATACCATGTCAGAAACTAGCTTAGCTAGGAAGCCATAGAATGGCACAAGGTTTAGCTAGGAGCTAGGAGGAGCCATGAGAATGGCGAGAGGTTTTAGGTGCTAGGAAAGTTGAGGAGAGAAAAGATGTTGGATTAGAAGAGAGGGGAGTACAAGGAGGGGTTTGTACCCCCTACAGAAAGGTTCAGTAACAACCTACCAAGCCTATATAAATTATAACTTATATAATTTTAACACATGGACCTGTTCTGCAGGCATTTTGATGTAACTAGGTTTGGGTATCTTGTGCCAGGTTTGGACGAAATTTTGCGGGCTGACCCTCGATCCGAAGCAAAAAATCAGGCTTTCGGAAGGTGCTCTGATGTAATCTGCACTTTCCTTTTCTGCCTGCAGAACGCAGCCATGGCCCCTGATCGGTTGGCCGTATTCTGGAACCCGGATGGTGTCGAGCAATTTCCTAGGGCTGGCTCGGAATTGACTTAAAGCCAAAAAAACTTTTTAATCACACCAAACCTCATGGAATAGAGGCGTGTACCAATCACCAGAATAGGGAAGGCTGGAATACGGAATGAGGAAAGGGCACCTAGCTGCTGACTTGAGCGAAATCGTGCTAACCGCCGGTCGATGTGTTTTCCAGCTTTTTTGCAAGAATAGCTGGGAATAGTGAAGAGTGGGGCAATCCAAACGCAATAACTAATGCCTTTCAGAAACGGAAAACGTTGAAAACCCACTACCAGCCTGTGTCTGACCGCAAAGAAAACAAAATTGGGGTCGTGTTTCGATATCAAGCCAGATGCAGGGCCCTAGACAAAAAAATTGCAAGACTTGAGCTACGGTCGACTAGAACTGCTATTTCCGCTATCGCACTCATTCTGTAAGGAATTGCGATTCGTTACTAGGGCTCGCCACAGCAAGTACACGCGAACCTCTCGGTTCCGCAGGCTCGGCCCTTGGTTCTCGCGCCAAACCAGCCCTGTCGACTTTTTCGGCCCCAGCCTCATCCCGAGTCGCCCCGAACTCAATTTGACCCCGTCAACCTCGGGACTTCCGAGCCCTAGAGTGGTCTGACCCTCGACATTCAACCTTGGTCAACACACCTATATATTGCCTAGGCCTCATCATTATGGAACGATGGAATCACGTTCCCCTATAGTATTCTGAGCTATACTCTGAGTTATAATTCGTATCAGAGCTACGTTCTTGCCCATTAGGCTTCCGGTAGGGGAGCATACCCTATCGGAAAAGGGGGCGGAAGGATACTGATGGCGAGCGGACGTCACGGAGATTAATTGCGCGGGCGTTGCCGATGCCGTCAGATCCTGTCCGATGGACGGCTGGGATTGGCCGGTCCTCCCATTCCCTGGTCGTAGATGGAATTATTTTCCGTCGAAGAGATGGCGACGTTTTCGCAGTGCTTTTCGGGTACGTTCGTTAGAGCTTTTGTAATTTTCGGGTGTTCGGACGGATTCTTAGGATTGGCTTCCTAAAAAAGCGAAGGCTTCATCAGGAGAAGACAAGTGCACGTGCGTCCTCACGCGGCCGGGAGTTGGTCGTCATGAACGCGCGGGGTGACGAAAATGGCGGGATGTACGGCGATGTACGTCTGGCACGCCATGCAGCGGCAGGGTGAACTATAGCTGTGTCGCGGATCCCGGCGTTTCCGGCAGTCTAGTTGCAGGCGATGGACGGGACTTCAACACTATTCCGGCAATGGGCGGATCCGACAATTTCGGAACGACACGATCGCACGAAGACGTGTGGGTGTGCAGTTGTGTGGGAGCAGCTGGGATTAACGACCTCAGCGCTAATCACCACGACGACCATCTGGAGGTGATGACGCTGTGCTGGAGTGAGTGTACTCAGCGAGGGCGACTATCCGCGTGGGGAGGCATTTTTCGTGGACCAGTGATTCATACCCCTCACGATCAACGGAAACGGAGGCAACCGCCCTTGGGTGTGCATTAAGTGTTTTTCCACCAGTCACCGAATGTGTTAACTGTCAGGAGCTGAAGCAGTGGGAGAAGAACGACGGGAGTACAGGAGCAGATGGGTTAGCAGCGTTCAGGTTGCTACTCGCTCAGCTACGTTGCCCGGAAATCACCATTCCCACCAAGTAGCAGTGTCGACTTATTAATCGACGGCTCTTGGCTGAATAAGGGGGGTGAACCTGCGAACTACACTGTGCTGATGGAGTGTCCCCAAAATTTTAGGAGTTATTGTTGTGGAGGAGCTGAGGGTTTTTACCTGGAGCAGCTGAAGGAGGTTCTGACTTTTGCGGGTGTAGTTTGACGGGTTTCCGACGGAGGAGGGAGCTGTCCAGTGGTCAGTAGGCGAGCTCGCTAAAGCTCCTCTGACTAGAAGCGTGCACACTCCTATCTCTGCGGATTCTCCTAGTTAGCTAAGCAGTAGCGAAGCGATTTTGGGTAACCTGCAGCAGCCACGAGATGGGTGAACATCTGCACGGCCTGCTGGCAGGGGTACCAGAGAATTTTAGAGTTGGGTAACAGCTGGGCGGAGATCGACGTCGTATGATGCGCGTTGACCTCGATCGGCGGCCAAAACATCATGCCGAGGCGGTGGACCTCGGTGTTCCATAATATAAAGGGTGTTGTTCATGCGTGCAGCTAGTAGAGAAACCGTGGGGGCGCTGCTAATAGACGCTGCGAAACCTAGCATTTTACAGGTAGCTGTGAAGCGGAGTGGCTGTATCTGCTGAATACCGTGAGGTTTCGACATTTTCGCTGGAGTAGTTCAAGGTTTTACACCTGGAGTTGTGCCCGCTATCTTCAGGGGTACGAGCGACATCGATCGATATTCTCGGAATATTTTGGGTGCATGGAGGAGGAGAAGTGCAGCAGCAGTTTTGGTTCTTCCCGAAAATTTCGGTGTGTACGGACAAAGTAGCTGATGCATCTGGCGGCATTCAACCCTGGGTTCCGTTCGAGGTTTTTCACTAGAGTGGTTCAGTACATGTTACAGGTCATCGCCATCATTGTATTCCTCTCGCCACAACTCGCTACCGACTCCAGCATCAATTCGCCTAATTCGCCTGATAGTGTCAACATGACCCCGACTCGTGATCCGAAAAAAAATCAAAAAATAAAATAAAAAAATCAGTATCATATTTAGAGAACAATTGGCAGCAGTACTGTGAAGCTGTGATGAAGCCAGCTCGCAAGCAATGTTTGACTTCTGAATATTTTTTGAGTTCATGTGGGAGTCTCCTGGAGCAGTAGTTGTGGAATTTCCGGACCTTCGACGTGGTTTACCCTGAAGACAATTTACCTGGAGTGGATTTTGGAGCCCT